TTCTTTTCGAGTGACTTGCAAGAGTGGATTCAAATGAACATGAAAAAACACATCAGAAATATGGAAGGAGACTGGAAGAATATCTTCATTATCATTTGTTGGCTTCTCTAGAGAGCCAGGAACGATCTCACACACTCAAGTGCTGAGACGAGCCTATCAAGTATTACTGTAAGAGCACTGGCGATTGCTAACTGTTTTCGTACCGCCACCTCAACCCTTTATGGTGTGAAGATGAACGCTCTACAACAGCAGGTGACTAAGGTGGACGCTAATACAATGAACCCCAAACTGATTGTGGAAGTAGATGGGGCCTTCTCGAAATGGCAAAGAAAGGTAGCTTGCGGCGATATACTCAGGTTTTTTGATAATGAAGGGCGTGAAGGTTTCATTCTTAATATGGAGCATGGTGACCACTTTACAACAGAATTGTGGGGATGCTTAATGGGTCTAAAACGCGCCTGGGACACTGGTGAGAACGAGATTATATTAAGATGCGACTCCTTTGAAGCACTGAAGGCCATTGCAGAAGTAGAATTCAAAGCCCATGAGGATAGCAAGGTGATTCACGAGATTCAGAATGTGCTGAAATGGAGCTGGACGGTGAAGCTTCAGGCCATAAGTAGAGATGTAAACCACTTAGCAGACACCCTTGCTAAGAAAGCACTTAACGAAGCCAAGGGCTTACAAATCGTAAGCAGGGATCTGGTGCTTGCGCTTGTAAAGCCTCCTGTTGTTAGATAGTTTGCTGTCCTTTCTAGTGTATCAAAAAAAAAAGTATGCTTATAATGCATTTATAAATTATCCATTAACAAAGTTTCTCACATTAATAGCGGGATGGTAAGTTATAATCCAACTTTTTATCAACTTAACCAACATTATATACAATCAGTTATATGTAATTTTTATTCATTCATTAATTATGCCAAAACTAATTTTTTTCCCCAAAAGGTGAGGTGTGAATTACCTCTTCGATTTTTAATATAGGACTTAATTGTTGAGTTAATTTTGATTTTAAATGCAAAATCTATTTATCATATTTATCAATTTTTTCTAAATTACCTCTTGCCATAATCAAGTAAAAATGTGAGGAAGAATATTAAAAAAGATGAAGATAGTATTTTAACTAACTTTCTAAATTTTTTAATTTAATCAAATAAATTAAATATGTCTTATAACAATATATTTCCATTTGAATAAAATATCAACAAAGGGTAGATAATTGACAAGACTGAACAAGATACCCAAAGAAGGATGTGGGGTCAAATCCGTCTTCCTAAAGAGACAACATGATCATGTTCTTGTGATCCCACAAAACTTCAATCATCATATTTAAGCACATTACATGTATCTGTCTACCTGATTTCCATCCATCCATCCATGCTCCCTCAATTATTACAAATAGTCCACAATGTGCCGAATTCAAGCTAGACGTCCATTCCTCCTTCTGCCTTTCGTAATTGCTTTGTTCCAAGCAATTGGATGCCTTTTCCTAACATCATCATTTAAATATAGATGATTCATTTTATAAATTTTTTTTAAAATTTTGATTAAATTAGTTATTTATTAAAAATGTATGTTGATACTGACAAAAAACAAGTGTGCTGGCTTGTTATACAGGAAAAATTGGGAATAAATCTTCATTAAAAATTTAATTGGTAAACGACATTTAAAAACTTTATGCAACTTCGCTTTCTCAGTGTATAACTTAACTTTCCTCATATGCAATCTATTTTTCTTTGTGTGTAATTATATTTCCTTATGTCACATCTCCTCTTTATCCAATTGAACTTCTGTTGTGTGTAACACATATTCCCAAATATACAAGTTAGTCTCTTGCATCCAAATGATATTTTGTGCAAACTATCTTCCTCACGTGCAACTTATCTTTCTTCATGTAACTCATCATCTTAGGAACTATTTACTAATTAATTTTTCAACAAAGGATTTATCCCCAATTTTCCCTTTTCATAAAAGATCTTCTTTAATTATTTGTAATAAAATTAATCCTTGACCGCTAGCTTGTGCAAAAAGTATGAATGGGAGAATTATAAATTTCAGAAATAAATATATTTAAGACTAAAATAAATTTCCTAACTAGATTATATATAGGATTAGAGGGAGTACAAGGATTTCTTTAAAATCATTTAAAATTAATTAATATTTTCATAATTTTAAAATTAAAATAGTTAAAAAATTAATTTAAAATTAATTAATATTTTCATAATTTAATTTTTAAAAAAACAAGGAGAGGATGCCCGACATTGATTAAATTACCTTACAATTGTTTGTCATATGCATGAACGATTGATTATTGAAATGAGTAAGGGGTTAAAGATTCCAATACTTAATTATTGGAGTGGGTCACCAATGAACATGGTTTATGAGTATACAGTATATTATAAATAGAATCATATGCCAAAGTACCTCTGAATATTCCGCCTCAAACATCGCAAAATAAAGATTCATATAAAAACATTTAAAAATATATAATTATATTGGAAAAAAATGTGGTAATAGTAAGGGCGAGCGGTACAGATACGTACTTATAGAAAAGTTGAAAGTAGCAACCGATGAAATTCCCAAAGACTGCACTTGTATGTGTGTGTACATGTCAAAGCAACCCTCCAATAATTTCGTTTTTGTTAAATAAATCAAATTATTTCATCCATGTAAGTGCAAATTATTATTTTATCACCACCCTTGGGTTGTCACCCACAATATTGCATGTGAAAGGGAATAAATAAATTTATATAATTACTCCTTCAATAATAGCTTGCATTTGCGAAGCTGTTAAATATAAAATCATAACAAGTCATATACATTTATTCGATTTATTTTTCTTATTCTACAGATGAGTAAGTGAATTTATAAAATAGGAGCTTCTGATTGGGTAAGAGTAATTAAATACTCATATAGTTAAAAATTATGGATATTTCTATTATCATATCCATAAGACACTTCCAAAATGTGATTAAAATTTGATAATTTCTCAGTTTTGTCTCTATTTAACATATATAAAAATAATTTATAAAATATAAATTAGGAGTAGACTGATACGTTTAATGCTATAATTTATATAAATAAAAATACTCTCTTTTTTCCTATAAATGAAGTTAGAAGAGTAGGTATATCTATAGGTGATTGACAAAAGAAGATGATAGTGTCTGTATCTTAAAGGGGTTTGAAATTTCCAAAAAGATAATGATAATATTGCAAGTGTGGATTATTTTGGTTGCAAGTACCAAGCAAGCATGTGGGAGTGGGATGTTATTTTAATTGCAATGTGGCAGTGAAGAGAATACCCACATTGATTAATTTGTTGAAACCAATGATGGAACACACTTTTTTTAAAATCCAAGGAAGCTCTATTGGGAAGCTAACATTTGTTCAGAAGGTTTTTATAATAAATAAATAATCATCACAATACATACAATGGTCCCTCCCTCCAGTACTATTCCTTGTCCTTGTCAACCCTTCAATTGAATCCAATCTGCATTCTCCATCTCTTCACATTCTTATACATTACCCTATTTATACATATAGTTTAATTGAGTCGAGATTAGATCATTCATCTATTAAGGAGTGTTTAGATTAGTCTTTTAAAAGTAATTTTACAGTATATAAAAGGAGTTTTATCTTGACTTGCTTAGAAATATTTTTTTTAAGTGCTTATAGTGTTTTACAGATATTCCTGAATCAAGAAAGCATCTCAAAAGGAGGGAAAATCCAATTAGATCGGGAGCTATGGAAAAAAAAAAAAAAGGAGTGAGTGGGTTAAAAACTATATTTCAATTCAAAATTTTCAATATAACAGATTTATGAATGCTTTTATTTCTATACATTTTTTAGTCAAAATTTTTTAAACCAAAACTTCGCCACCCTTTTTTACATCAACTCAATTCACATTTGATTCCCCCCCCAAAAAAAAAATATTATTAAGGTTCGCACAAGTCTTACATTTAGAAAGAATTTATAAAAATGCTTATAGATTATTCATCTCTAAGATTCACAATTATTTGAGGCAACCTTTTTGGTTTCAAGATGTTGTGGGCAATTGGGAACCACATGCAACATGGTTCTGAACACAGCTCTCAACCATAGTATCATTTGTATATCATGAACACTATGACTTGTCTTACATCATTATTGTGGTCTCACTCATAAGGTAGGAAGAGAAGAAATTCTTTTATTCTGATTATAAGGCATGCTATTTCAATGAAATATGTTAAAAGTGACTCGTGATAAAAATAAGTGGTATCAATGATAAGGAGAGGGGACCCAATATAATTAAAGAGGGGGCAGGAAAGACGGGATAGTGGGGAAGATGCTGGGGTTTCAGGAGTGGTGCACGTTCCAACATCAGCTCAGAACATGAGATTTGAGAAGAGATAAGAGCATCACATGCCGTGATATTGGCCTTTGCAGCTAACAACTGCTCTACAATTTGCACCATTCGCTCATTCTGACTCCATCTTCTTTCATCTTCCAAACCCTCCCTCCCTCACTCTGCATCCATCAACAACTGAACACCATGTGTTTGCTTTTATTTCCCCTTGAAAACACCCGAACTGCTGAGATTACAAGCGGGATTGATCCTGCGACCTTTTATCACTAGTCCATAGTCCATAAGGTCATAAGCAAAACATCCTAATTTCATTATATATGAAAACTATTTCTCATCTTCACATTCACCTTTTCTTTTGTTTTTTTCCTCTTTTTTTTTGTAGTTGTGAATTATATACATTCACTTTTGTGGTTGTAAGAAAATGTAACTTGTTGGAGAGTGTGGGCTCAAAATATAATGTGATGTTATCAGATGGGTGGAACAGAGGCAGTAAAAAAGAAATCACGTGCGAGAAGAGACTGTGGCCCCGTGGAGCATGTGCTTAGGCTCAGGGGGCTACCCTTTTGTTTTACTTTTATGAGATTTTTTTGGGCGTGGGGTTGTTCTTATATATGCTCCTTAAATTTCATCTATAGCCTCACCTCTCGGATCTGGCCTTTCTCTTCTACTTCACAGACTTCCTCTGCAACATATATAACCTATTACACTTGGCACTCATACAATTCAGTGACCCACCAAAAATGGCCTCTTGGAAGAAGACTATCACAACCCCATTCAAAAAAGCCCGCACTTTCTTCAATCATCAGCCTCCAAGGGAATCTCCAAACAAGTCTCAGTCAGGTGTGTGCGCGAATGCTTAATTATCTGAGCCTATTTACATATATCAGTTATCATATGTGTGTTGATTTGGGGCTTGATTTTTGCAGAGCAAGAGAACAGAGGAATGGATCTTCAAGGTGAAGTCATGGCTTGTGGTTATGAAGATGTCCAAGTGATGTGGTCTATTCTGGACAAGTCCAAATCTAATACCTCCTGCAATATCAGCACTTCCTGATCTATTTGATGATCCTACGCAGAAGAACAGATTCCCACCAAGCAATTAGCAGATGTTTTAGTGTGCTGATGTTTAGGTCATAGATTGCATCATACCATCTTTTCTAAGCTAGCTACTTATATAACTAGCTTTGGAATGTGATATGAATAAACTTTTCTCTGTAAAAATAGGGAGCAAATAAAAGAAAAGAGAAGGATGATGTTCTGGTGTTCTTGGGGTACGCGGCAGTTTCTGTCTGTATTTTCCGTTAGGATGTTTACAATAGGGAATCCCCATGATTGACAAGCAAAAATCATGGTGAGATTTTTGTTTTTTAATGAAAGCTAGATTTTTTTTTCATTTAAATTTTTTTTTGGGTTCTTTTTCTAATTTGTTTCCTTCCATCATCTGCTTGCTTTCTGTCTCTGCCCTTATCTCTTGGGTATGGTCTATGAGGAAGAAGAAGGAAGATAGGATTCCATGGGATACAACCTTGCATGATTGAAATGAATATTGTACTGTTAGTTGATGTTGACGTGATTCTATAGTTCTTTTCCTCATGAAATGCCTTAAAAGCTCAAGTGATTTTTTTTCTTCCATGATCTGGTAAACCTAGTCATTAGTAACTGAGTGTTAATTTGAGCAAATCCGTGTGATATGGTCGAAAGTAAAGAAAAACAATGAATAGAGAAAAGAGAGAATTGACTTATTTATATTGCTCTTTTGGGTGTGATAATGTACATACTATACACAATACGCAGTTTTGTATCGCAGAATGAATGGTCTGTTAAAAATAGTAAAAAGTTTATGTAGGCTCGATTCGAAGTCGAAGGGAGATATTAGCCACATAATGGAAGATTTTTTTGTGTCCCTCCTTTGACAGGATGAAAAAGACGGGCCCGGGACTCATTAAATGACAAACATATAGGACAAGTTGCCAAGTTTCTTGAAATCTACACAATGCCCGGTTCAAAGTTCAGACCTTATTCTTGAATATTAAAAAGTATTTTAATGGAACACAATCATCACATTGAACTTGGAGTTATTGACATTTAGTGTGTTTGGAATTGATAAACAACTTGATAGATTGAGTCTTGAGGAAAAATAAAATAGAACTTATCCTTTTAAAGATAGTACTCGTTCGGTTTCATTATATCTATCCTTCTATGTGTAAGGATGGAGAAATTATTAATCTTCCTTGGAACTTCATTAAATAGGATAAAATGGTCAAGTTTTTCAACTTCGTCTTCGAGAAGCATGTGGCCACGGGGTCGGTAAAAAGATTCCTTTCCCCCTGTGATGAAGATGATGATAGAGGTGGGACCAAGTTTCACGTCAAGAGTTGGCCACTAGTGAGGGGAATTGTAAACATGTGAATATATCTAAATGTCCCTGACTTCCCTGAAACCCTTTCAAGGGGACCCACCTACAATCACATTTAGATAGCCTGAGTTGCCAGAGAAATTATGTTGTTGGCATGCAATACACATGACATTTAATCCCCACATCAAACTTTCAGAGCCTGGCAGGTGAAAAAACTATTCTGAATTAGTTTTGAACTTGAAATAGGAAGGGAAACTACTAGAACCTGAAGGAGAGACGCAAAAAAAGTTGACCATCGTGGACCAATCTAAGCCAGAAAGCCATCATTGGAATTGCCAGTGAAACTACTGGTAATTGACACCACAGTACCACCAAGTTCAAACAACGACAATGAGTAAGCATCACTATCAACATGACTATGCGAATAGACAAGGGTGCAAACATCAGAACATGAGAGTATTTATGTACAATCTAAAAATATGCATGCTTCGAACTGGATTGACAGCTCAAGGGGTTTTGGGATTGATAGAGCATGGAAAAATACCTCTCATTCATCGCTCAGTAATTTCAGGTTGCCGTTTATATAGGCATGTGAACATGTGAGAATAAACACGTGTCACGAATATGTATGAAAAATACAAGAGGTCACAACAGAATCCTAGAAACGACCGTATAGAGAACAAGTGTATTATTTGGCATGAGCAGACGTGTGTGACGGTGAACCGGCAACAATTGCGCTATCAACAGTCAACTTGTATACATTATTAATCTTAGATAGAAGTCTCATTTATAAACGATTTCCATCAAATGTAGATGAAGATTTCTGAAAACTTGAGTACTTACCAGACAATCGCATGTTATTTTATGCCCCTAGTTCACAAGCTGAGGTTACGAGTCTCAGCGAACCTCAAGTTACTTTCCAGCAGGTGCTTGAGTTGGCAAGAGTATATATCTTTTTTTTTTTTTTTGGGGGGGGGGGATGCCTCCTAAACTTCTAGAAATCACATACTAATACAGACAGCAATATACTTTGTACTATTACATGAGAGGCAGAAAGAGACTTAAAGAGTTCTTTCCACAGGATAGGAGGAAAAAAGACAACAATGGGGAGCAAGGGTCTTAGCCTGCACAGGCCATATACATTGCTTTTAATGGTGCATCTTAATCTATTCTTTTGAGAATAAAGAATGACTAACCCTGCAACATGTCACCTGAAATTTCTTTCTTCCTTTGCTTCCAGAGCATCAACTTCCTCATTGGACAGAAGGTCCACAATGGGTTCATACACATCCCACTCCTTTCTTTTCCTGATACATTCAAAGAAACAGGCAAAGCCTGTCAGATGTTTCATTTTAAATTAACTAAACAATCTTATCATTAAGTACCATGGTTACAAACAAAATATAAACATGACAATTGAAAGGAAGGTTATGTGTATAAGCTGTTGGGAGGATAGAAGTATGATGTGAATGCTAGTACTAAGATATAATTGTAATAATAGCAGCATATAGGATTTATGTTGACCGTAACTAAGGCTGTTATTAGTGGAGTTCAATGCCTTGTCTTGTACTTCTGAGTATTTACCAATAAAGATATGGTCTTTCCTCATGTCTATCTCATTTCACATAAACCAACACTAATCATTGGATACAATCACATAGAAGACAGTATAGACCACAAAAACGGAAGTAAAATGTATGTGTGCGTGCATAAGGTAGCAAAGAGGAAATGACATGCAATTCCACAAAGCCTGGCAAGGGGGAAAAAAATGAAAATGCTGAAACATTTGCCAGCCCAAAAGGAAAACAAAACTGAGATACAATCACAAAATTTGTCAAGCGATAGAAACCTGCCTCGGGCAACTTCTGGGGCACAAACTGAGTCACTTCTAAAACCAAGCATAATAAGTTAACTCTTATTACATCCTATGATTCACTTAACTACCTAGGCATCATGACTACATGTCGAGTCCAACATGATAATAAACATGTCATGAAATACTCCTTTGGTCCTTAATATAAAACCTAGTTAACTAATTTAAATAGATTAAGAATATTAGTTAAATTAGTTAATATCATATTTTTTTTAAAGCACCCTAATCATGTTCCTTAATTTCCTCCCTCCCTCCCTCTCTTATTTAATTATTATTGAGAGAATATCAATAGGATGAATTTGGAAAAAAAATTGATAAACATATGAAATAGGTCTTACATATAAGACCAATATTAATTATCAAATTAGATCCTACATTAAAGATCGAAGGAATACCAAATTTCATCAAAGAGCTTAAACTGACTCACCGAACAACACTAGATTTCTGACCAAATAACTTGACCAAGTCCACTGCTGTAGTGCCTCCTTTACTGTTGATCAATTGATTGGCAAAGAGACAAACGGAATAATGGATCAGAAATACATATGATGACATGAGTATGTAGGATTTTTCACCACATAAAATCTTTCACCAGATCAAATGAGGTATGAAACGAGTGTAATAGAAACCTGACTGGAGTATATTCAAATCCCCGACGACCCTTCTTGTTCATCCTGCTTTCTCTTGCTGAGACTACACTTTGAATTGCAATCTAAATATATATATAAAAATTAAGAGTATGTTAACTCGATCAAAAATAACTTTGGAACATGACATATCAATCAAGCAATAAAATAACTGACCTCATAAAGCTGCTCTCTGATCGCAAATGCAATAGCAGGCTGCAAAACACGGGTGAAAACATGGATGTCTTTTCATCAGATTATTTTAATCATAACACAAAAATGTATTACCAAAGCGAATTAATTTTGACACAAACTACCTCCTGCTTTGTAATAGGACAGGATAAAATTTCACTTAAAAATGGGAGGCATGGAGTTCTAAATTCTCCCCTAATGTGTCCACAACAGATGGAATAACTATAGCATAGAGGATTAGGAGATGACTAGATATACTTACTCCAACCTCAGGGTCTTCAATAGCCATATCTTTGCAAAAGGTTCTAGCAAACTCTTCAGGATCACTCTCGAAGTTGTTCAAGTCCTAATTAGACATATACAAGCAGATAACCAAATAAAAGTGCTGCAAACAGAATTTAAAAATTAATGATTTGATCTCAAAGCCTCAATCTTACCCATAGAAACTGGTCCTTTATGAGAGTATGATTTACACGAAGATCAAGCTGTCAAAAATAACTAAATAATTATGTAAATGAGCATACAGTATAAAAGAAAAAGAAAACAAGCATTCTATTCATTTTATTTGGCACGCAGAAGAATTCATTTATAAGATGAAAGCAGGATCAAATGTTAGGATATCGAGAGAGACCTTGATAGGAACAATCTTCTCTCCAGCATACATATCCTGTCCTTCGTATGATCGGAATTCTGCCAGCTGGGACTGAATAATAAAAGTGCAACTTATATTCAACACAGGGTTTGGGAAGGGAACATGCATGTAAAGCGACATCAGAAGATGTAGAAAAATTAGCCAGGTATCATATGGAATTGGAAAGTGCTATTGACAAGGGAAGGTAGTATTGTAATATCTCGTAACTTGAATGGATTGAGCAATCTGTGTGACAAAAGCTGGAGGCAACTTTAAGTCTTTAACTGTCCTTTTTGCAAAGACCACCACCTCTGAATCGGGATCTATAACATGGAAATTTACGGCATGAATTCATCATAGGTAAAAACACAAGGTGAACATATTAATATACTGCTATACCATTATCATTTCAAAATACACGCACATAGAGAATTTGTTTAAGATTTCAAATTAACAGATGGCGTGGGCCCGAAACATGGAAAATTCATGGTACCCAAGACATGACCGTTACTTATATCATAATTAAGAAACAAGTTTTAACATTGCATACAATGAAGATCAGCAGCAGTCATAAGCCAACTTATCATACACTACCGTTACTCGGAAAATAAGATGACCATCAGCAGTGACATGCCAAAGTAACCTAGAGTGCCCACGGCTCTGAAGAAATATTATTTATTTTCATAAGCGTCTCTGAAGAAATATTAAGCCAGTAGCTGATAGGTTAGAGCATATGTGCCAGAAGTAAATCTCCAATGTAAAATTAGTCTGGCAAGCTACAAGGAAGCAATTCCCATAGTTATTCTTATTGTTGTTATTTTCGAATAATAAGAAGAAACTAAATTATAATGGAAAAACGAAAAGAGGAGAATAATGGATAAGGAAGTAGCGGAAGCCAACAATAAAGGAGAAATTTACCAGAAGGGTTCCAAGTGAAAGCATCCTTGTATCTCTGGCCATCAATTTCGATATCCAGTCGAATGGGTACCAAATTATCAGCAGTTGGGCTGCGAGTACATACAACATTTACCTGATATTATCCAGAACCGGAACGGAAGCGCACAGCGAGAAAAGAGAGTGTTTTTGAACTTACATTCTGAACTTGACGGGGTTTTTGTAGAAAGCAGATGGAGGGGTCTTCATCAGGGGTTCCCCTTCGCTACTTCAGCCAAATATTATTGTTCGTATCAAAATCTTGAATCCCTTTGGGTTCGGTATGATAAACTGGAGATGCGCTCAAATTTGTGAAAAACCAGTTAGCTTCAGCCAGAAGATCTTCCAATTCCGTCCGGGCGGGAAGGGAATTAACGGAGAATCCCGCACCGCGTTTCTGGCGAGGATGGTCAAATTTCAGAAATGATTAAAGGCCCCATTATGAGAGATTTTTTTGGGTAATGGACCTAATTGTGTATTTGGGCTTGAATTTCTGACAAATTAGTAGGCCAGCCTTGGCGGCCCAATAGTCTCTTACGTTTTGGGCTAGCTGCTCCATTTATGTATACAGTATTGAAGAATTAAACAATATGTATATAAATTATTGAGGCAACTGATCTAAATATGTGTGTATAAATTACTGAGGCAACTTATCTAAATTTTTATATAAAAATAAGTAAAATATTGAGCCAAAATATTAATTAATTTTAGATAACAGTGTATATTAGTTGGAGTAGAGAGTAGAACTGTAGAAGAGAGTTTAGCTTGTTTAAAGTGAAATTTTAAGTTCTACCTTTATAAATTAAAACAACTAAAATATGAAATATATTAGAGAGACATTTAAGGACCTCCAAAATACAGTAATCCCAAGATGGTCATTCAAAATGTCTTAATATATATGAGGTTTTTAGAGACCATTCTGAAATTTTTTGTAAAATTCCTTAATTGTCTTTACGTACAAAAAAGTTCTCACCACCGCTGATATATTATGCATGAAGATTTATAAATAATAATACTACTCCCGGTTCTATTAATGATACCTCATTTATAGATTACAAACTCGCTCTTATAAATAGGACCGGAGGTAGCATTTAAATTATTATATATTAAAGTATTAATGTTTCATATCCCTATTGCGTTTTCTCTTGTTACAAAAAGAAGCTTGCTGTGGAAATAATACCGAGTTTTTCCATGCCGAAAAAGAAAACAAGTTTTTAATATAATAATTCCCAAGACATTATCCATAAAAATAAAAAAAATCTCGAGTCTCAACTAGGAAGTCAATCTTTTTTTCCCCTTAATAAGAGATGTTAATGTTTTAATCCATTGCAAATTTTGAATTATTGATATTAGAGAAAATAAAAAAACAATATCTATTGAATTTTAAAAAGATAAATAAGTCATACTGTTTACTCTTGTAATAGTTTTTACTACTTAAAACCTGTCAAAATCACCTCTTTATCATTTTAAAATTTAATAGGTATTTGTCTGTCATTTTTTCTTGATATTACTTGTCTTTATGCCACCCCTAACTACTATACACTGTATGTGTAAATTAAAATTAAAATTGGTGTCATTGGATGATGTAAAATTATTAAATAGAGACAGTGAAATCTGTATGATGCTCAATTTGCATTTGGTTGTGCAATCACGTTACCCTTTACCTTCACTAAGTTCACGGGTAAAGTTGAAACAAATTCATCTTTAGATGATTTTGAGTGGACAACTTTAATGTTGACTTTACACTTTTAAAAAATGATAAATAAATTATTAAGTTAGGGAAAAAAAATAGAGAATCTTCTCACTTGACGGCTTTCTTTTTATTCTTCTTCTGGGGAAAAAGAAGAAGAAGAAGAACTGTAATTTGCAACTACACGCTTGCTGAAAGTTAAAATATGCTAATAGTTAATATGATAGCTAAATAAGTAGATTGTGAATATTAAAAAATGAGTTAAATTAATTATTTATAGCAAATATATCTTCATTTTCCCACACTATCATATGTAATCATATGTATTGAAGCTATTTCTTGATTCGAAACTCCTTAATACATGTAATTCAGAGAGATACCCTAGCCAAAGATTATGAATTTGGAAGGCAAAATAAATTAAGATATCATATTTAAGATTAAAGTGAATTTTTTGTCTGGCTCTTATATTTAAAAACAGATGAAGAGACAATAATTATTAGATGTTGACAAAGGATAAAAAGAAATTAACGAAATAGAGAAAAGGCGAGAAAAAGAAAAGAAGGAATAAAAATGATTATGCAGATAAGGCATCGCCATCAGTTGGTGAAAGATGGAGGTTAGATGCAGAATCAAATTCAAAACCTGCGTTCACATCTCAGAGAAAAAATGTTAAATGATGTTATGTCATGAGTGGGGGGCACCACACGTGTTTAGAGACAAGACTTGTTCTAATTTTGACATTCTTAAAGCAAAATCTCTGTTCCTGACACGAGTGTGGGAGACCACCACTTCCCCAACAAAACCCTAACACACAAGCAAAACTCAGGCTCCAAGTTAGGTATATATATAAATAAATACTATACATATTGCCTTCCTTTTTCTTTTTCTTTCTTTTTTTGCCCTTTTCATTTTTAAACCCCTTCGAGCACAAACTTTTGAGTTCCAGTTTCTCTTCTTCTTCTTCTTTGTTTTTTTTTGGGTTCCCTGTCGGATTACTTTTCAAGCTTAATTTGTCTCCAATACAGTTGTCATTTTAACTTTTAAATCCTTAAACTGTGTTCCAAAGGATTAGATAAGTTATGTGAAACTTACGACACCTCTCGCAAACATATATTTGATTCAACCAGGTGATGTGTGAGTGTGACATTAGTTTTTGATCATATCAACTATGAAACCAAAAAAATAAGTTGTATTTACAAGATTTATGTAGTGGTCTGAATTCCCCAAGATCCTTCCTTCACAGATGTCTGATGTTGTATCTGATTTCATCTTAAAATCAAACTCTGTTAAGCAGAATTTCCATCAAATAATTTACTCTGACCTGGTAAGATTTGGACAGATGATACAACGAATTTACGGTATTTAAAACTCAAAACTAGGTAATGAGTGCTAGGCTGTGGGCCTTGCATTTTGGAGACCCTGAATCCTTTTGTACACATGACAACATGCGTGTGGAACGTACTTCTATAGAAGTTCTAGCTGTGAATTATGTGGTTCAAAGAATTTTCTCTTCTGCTTCAAGATCATGCTGAGATTGGAATAGAATTTAATATATTACAGAACCAGAACTCAAAATCTTTCAACATGGAACAGAGTCTCATTAGTCAGAAGCATTGTAGCTATGCACTGAAGTGAGATGCTATACATTTATAATATTGGTTTATATAACTATCATATGTAGCCTTGGTCATGGAGACCACTGGTTTTTCTGGGCAAACTCTACTTTTGCTTTTTTAGCCCACCCATTAACTAAGACAAAAATGTATGGACAGTAAAAATTGAGAGGAAACTTGTGGGGAGAAGAGTTTTATGCATTAGATTAGCTAGCATCTGTCTGCTCTGGTGATCTTCAGCCTTTTCACACTGGTCAAGAACATCCTGTGATAAATGCATTGAGAAATAATTACCATAAGTGACAGGCTTAGCTTGAACAAGAAAAATCCCTTTTCAGAAAAGAAGATCAAAGCCAAAGTTTGGGTTTGATCTCGAGATATATTACTTACTCCCATGGCACATCTCCAACCATCATCCAGTCCCCTTCTTGATCCTCATAAGTTAACACATGAAAATTTCCAGAATGAAGTGGTTGGGAATTAGGGCCTGAAAGAAGGAAGGAAATGAAAAACTTTCCTGATCTAAACATGATGGTACAGATTACAAAAGAAAGAAGAATCTGCAGAGGAGGGAGAGGAAGAAGATTGTAATCAATGAGGGTTTTCATTAGTGCTTACAGAGAATGGTGGTCCTGAACATGTGGCCTAAAGCTCTGACAAGCCCATCATAACTATGGTGTGCCAGAAGGTTCAATTTTCTACCAATTGGTATGCCTTCCATGTACACTTTGACAAATAAGGAAGGCCCTTGGCTCCACTGGTTTTGTTTCTCCACAAGAGTGCTTCTCAGTATGGACTTGATTGGAGGCCAATCTGAAGTTTGATTCCTGAAACATAAATCTCCAAGAATTCATTTCTGAATCATAATTTGACATACACTGAGACTATAAAACCCATGAAATTCTCAAGGTTTCAGGTTAGGAAAAAGAGAAGTCTGCAACAGGGGGTTCATATCTGCAGAAACGTACAGAAGTTTCATACACGAATCATGGTTTTATATACAGAGGCAACAACAAAACAAAAAATGGAAACGAAACCCATGAAATTCTCAAGCTTTTAGCTCCAGAAGAGGCCTATTCTACCACAAAACTTCACATATGCGGAGACAAAAAGACCATTCACTGATCATGGTTTCATATACAGAGTAACAGAGACAACATAATAGCCCCAAAAAAAAAAAATTTAAAGGAACAAAACCCCTGAAATTCTCAAGCTTTGAGCATCAAAAGAGTTAGATTCTTTGACATTACGAGAGAACAAGGGAATGGGTAAGGTACCTTGACCTGGGATTTGAATTGGAAAAGCCAGGTTGAGAAGGAGAAATGGTAAGACCAAGCCTCAGGTCAGTGATCAGATCAGTTCTGGAACTGTTAGTATTTCTACAAACACTTGAGAGACACGAAGAAGATGAAGAAGCTGCAGGTTCACAGTCCCAGAAGGGTAATTACTGCTATCAATTGAAGAAGAAGAAGATGATGATGATGATGACTGGGTTTGCTGGCCATCGACCTGTTCTCCGGTTCTCATCTTCCAATCAACCAAAACTGATCAACACTGAAAAATAAAAAGCGGCCACATTGGCCTGCCTATATATATACACATGATATACGCAAATACAGTAAAGGAAATTTCATTTATTAGCATTGTTGCTTTCATATTCACACGAAGCAATTAAAATTTTAATAAACAGAGTATTTGGATAACAAATCTAGATTATGGAAAAAGGTTCTAAATTGATTAATGCTTTTGGCTAGACAAGCTACTTTAAACATCCAGAGATGTAATGAGAGAGAGAAGTCAGAGATTGAATAGGTTCTTCTGTTGGTTTTGATTTGCCCTGAGGGTGGGCGACATGTCCACAAGGCCTAAGCTACATGGTCTTTAATTAATTAATTTTTTAGAAAGTTTATGTTGGTTGGAACCCTAGAAATCTACTTTATTTTTTTTCCCAAAAATCATTTATGGGTTTATTTTATTTTTCAGGCCCTGTTATTGCTTTATTTAAATTTTTTTGCGTGACACTTCCCTTCCCATCGTGTTGTGAATTTTAAAGATGAGAAAGGGCCAATGGTTTGCCTAAGGAACACAGTGG